CCTCCAACAGCACGGCCTCTTTTGGTTCATCTTCTCACCAAGATGGAAGAATTTCCAACTGCATTAATTAATGGGCAATATGCAGCATGCAATAGCGTGTTGATCGACCTGGCGAAAGCTAAGAGGCGATGGACGGAAAAAAAAGACTCAACTGAACCAGCACCACATTAACCCGCAAAGGAGGAGGCAGAGCGGGAACACGGAGAATGGAGAGGCCAAAGAGGGCCTAAACATAAAGGGAGGGGAGAACCATCAGACGCCGAGGAGAGAAAGCCTAGACGGCCAGAGGGAGGCCAAATAACAACCCCGACACGGGCAATAAAAATGGAACACAGACCCACGAGCAGAAATGGAAAGAGCTAGAAAAAGACAGGAAGCCGCCAAAGTCAAAGTAAAAAGGCTCAACTACCGGATTGGATGACGCACAAGCACCGTTATTGGGAATTGGGAGAGTAGTGGCGGTGCAAATGGGATCCAAACGCAAATCACGCAGGACCGTCTTAGCGTGGACACGGAAAGTATCACAACACCGTGCGCAACATGGTGGAGAGAGACACATCTCCACACAGGCGAAAGCCTTCAGTGCCATGCAGCAGAACGAAGAGATCAACCTGGCTTTAACACGCTACGGACAGGCGAGCAAGGCCACTGAAAAGTCCCCTTATGGGGCAAACAGAAGCCAAGCAACACCAAGTCACCCCCTCCCTTTGCGGAGTTTGTCTGTTTATTGCTATAATGTTTGGAGGCGGGTGTGCAGCCGGCCGTGGCCATGGTCTGATGATGAATCTCAACTTCCAAAACTGGTACGAACGTGGGGTGCTTTTGCTTTTTCGCTTGCAAATGTTCTTCGCGCCACAACGGCGTGGACTTTTCGACATCTCAACTTCCAAAAGTGGTCCGAGAATGGTGTGTTTTGTACATTTTGACGTCGAAATGTGCTTCGCGCCACAACGGCGTGCAATTTTTCATCTTTCATCTGGCCAGCTTGCTCCGCACCGCCCGCTTTAGCGAGCCTACTTATCGACCCTCCGGAGCCTCAAATCATGGAAAAACACTGTGGTTCGCGACTTTTCTACCTTTTCGCGCGCCTGCATCTTCTTTCTTCTGACCCTTTCTCTTCTCTGATCTTCTCTCTTCTGCTCTTCTCTCTTCTACCAGTACTGTTTGAAACTGTCCTTTACATGTACTTGTTCATGTGTGTTTTACTGTATGTGTAAACCCGCAACACACCTGGTTCAAGTGCACATTCACGACACAGCATCATGCTTGGCTTTTGGGCAATTCATGTGACAGCTCATTTTCAGTTCATCTTGTTTTCCTTTTTACCCCAGTTCTTTTCCATGCCTTTCCATGTCTAATCATGACGATTATAACTTTTCATTTTAGCTTCATCTGCATCTTTCTTTGGTGCCGCGATGGAGTCCTGGGTTGCCCACTTGAGCACCGAAGAGTTGACTTGACTGCTCTCCTGACCGCTGTAGCCTCAGAGCTTCGACGACGTTTTGGGATCCCAAGTTCACCTGGACCATCCACCGCACCTGCAGCAGCACCATCTCCATCCACACATTTGAGGGCCCCGCCTACATGTGAGTTTCACTGTGAATTTTGCGATCAACCATGTGGTCGGGGTCACAAAGCAAATCGTGGACATCATCGATGCGCAGCACATCGCCACCTGTGATTTGGCGGATTCAGCATCGAACACCAGCTTTGGAGACTGAGAGGAGGACTCATGGGATTTGATTTCGTCCATACAGTACCTTCAGCACTGCCACTTCCATCGATTGGGCAGGAAATCGGTACTAGTTTGCAGGCATCTTCGCTTCAATTGGGGGGATTGGCACTCCCTTCAGTTCGGGATGCAGCGGTCAGTTTGCGTTGGGAGCCTTACCCAGTTCCCCCTTCGAGACCTGATCTATGATGGTGGCAAACCCCAAACAGATGGCATCAACAAACGTGGGACCCAAGCGATCATCGATTCCTGCCCCAGCTCATGGCCAAACATCTTCAAGTCGAGTGGATGCCTTGTCGAGAGTCAGACAACCTAGTCAATCCAATGTGATTAACAGCTATGGAATCAACTGCATCCGCTGGTTCTGGATTATTCATCATTACTGCGTGATGTTGCAGCCTCTCAGTATCGGGACTTGCATGTTGCAAAAATCCTGGATAACTTTGCTGCTACGACTTTGGTGAAGTACCTTCAGGCCATTTATTATTTCATGGTAGTTAGCTCAGCTATGCATGTGGAGGTTCAATCCCCGACACCAGTCCAACTGGCGGATGTTCTTTTAGGGGTGAGACTCTCGAGATCCTCAGATGGCAGGTATGTCCACGTGTCCTCCATCATTAAAGCACTTCGATGGGGTGTACGGCATCTTGGCTTGGACTGCTTTCAATGTGCCCACTCGGCTATAGGGGGACGGCTGTTGCACACCAAGATCCCCAAGGATGTGATGTCAGGGAGAGTTTACCACTCTCTCTCTTCACGATCATCGGATGGGAACGAAAGGTTCTTACTGGGAACACTTCCCCGCTTCTGGCGATCATCTTGGGGAGCTTTCTTTTTCAAGCCTGGACTGGTCTGCGTTGGGCAGACCTCCAACGAGTCAGCCCCTCCAGTTTGGTATTCGATTTCCAGGACATCCGTGATCCGTGGATTAGCTTGGAGGACCAAAACGACTACGAAAGGACAAGCTTTTGGTTGCGTCGCTCATGGCTTCATGTCAGTTTCAACACACACTTGGCTTTTGGTTTGGCTCCGACATTTGGACGTAGTGTTCAAAGAGGCAGACCCTGCATCGGTTGATTTTTTGATACCACAAACGACGATCAACTGGAGTTGTCATCTCAGTTGGAACCCATGCGTTATGTGGATGCACTCTACTATTTGCGAAAATATGTGACCTGCCCATGGAAGCAAGGGATGAAACCCACGTTTGTTGCATCCAACTACACGGTGCATGGCCTGAAGGCTACTCTTTTGTCCTGGAGCAGCAAGTATCCTCTATACCAGAGGCCTGCTGGTTTAGCGATTGGTAGACTATAGGTGTGGCATTGAGTGATCATCGTGACCCGCGTCTTGTCGTGGACTCTTCGGTATGTGGAACCAATTCATCCTGCCAGGTATTGGAACAAGGTCTCCCTACAGTCAAGGATGTCCTGCGAACATTCCCTCTTCCGGACAATACAGCGGAACTTGCGGGCCTTTCCTTAGACATCAAGGCCGTGCAGAAAAGGATTGTCATCCGCGAATCAGAACGCGGTCTCTTGGGCTTCAGTCACAATGGATCATTGTATTTTGCAGGGTTGCTCCATTTGGGGCCATTTTTTCAGCCCACTGGTGGGGGCGACTTGGCGGATTCTTGACTCGCTTCCTTCATCTTGCCATATATGTGAAACACGCATTATGGTTATACTACGTTGATGATTTTCTGCTATGTCAACGCTGGGATGTATTGCCATTGACGGCCACATTCATCATAATTTTGCTACAATTGTTTGGCATTCCTATCAGTTGGAAAAAATGTGACCTTTCAAAGGAGATTACCTGGATTGGTTGGCAATTTCACTTTTCATCTGGTATTGTAACATTGGACATCAACAAGCGATCCAAATTGATTCGACTGATATCATCACTTCAGCATCAGTCTTGGGTTCACAAGAAGGACTTGGAACGTTTTATAGGATTGGCTATGTGGATTACCCAACTGTTCACTGGGATGCGACAGATGTTGCACTATTTTTGTGCGGACGTTTTTTCATTGTCAGCTTCACACTACAGTATTGATCCAGGTCATTGGCAAGAAATTATTTCAGCCGTATCAGATACCTTGATTTTTCTACAACAACCACCGGGTACGGGTATTCCTATTGGTGGACAGCTGATTTCTGTTCGACATCAAACAGTCAAAACCAAACAGGGTCTGAACACTTTACGACTCGGCAACAGACAAATTTGGATGGGTATCACCAATCCATCATCCAACAAGCGGAAAATTAGCGAAGCAAGTGCCCGTTGTCTTTCTTTGTTTGATGTTTGGCTGAAACACTGTATTCCCTTGAAGAGTATGTACCCAAAAAAAGTCTGGCCTGGTCTGGCAGCGGCTGATGCATGTGCGATGGGTACATCCACTCAGATTGGCCGATTCATTCAGGAGGACACCCAATCTCCTATTTGGTTTTCAGAGAAATTTGACGTTCAACATTTTCTTCATTTGGACATTCCAGTTCGCTCAGAGTCCCAGAAGGATATTGGTGCATACGAAACCTTGGCACAGATGGCTCTACTCTTTAACTTTGCTCGCCAATTTCCCACCAAACCTCCACTTAGTCTCTTTTTAGAAAAACTGGGTCTCATGAGCAGTATTCTGGGTGTTGATATGGACACCTCCCATATTAGTGGAGTTGAGTGCTGTCACGAAGTGAGAGCACAATCTTTGTAAGAACAGAGCAAAATTTTTAACAACAAATTTTGCAACTCAGGGCAAAACAATTTTTATAAGGGTTACACCTTGCGCAGCATGTGTTTTTCTGAATAATAATTCTAAATGGACAACTCACACAACCAAAACAAAACAACACAACCTTCCCTTGGTTTCACTTATCAATTTTATATTCGTGTTGCATTTTTCGTATCAAGGGTGAGGTAGAGGAGGGTTTAAAAAACCTTTCTTCTACAACCAACTTTTCTTTCGGCGTTAGGGGGTCAATGGACACGAGACAGATTGCTGCACTTACGAATCATCACATCATCTCGCTGTTGTTTTTGATCCTTAGTGAAGTTGCACGTCGACTTGGCGTTCCCATCGTTCTCACACCTGGATCCGACCAGACCTCGGACCCAGAGGCAGGTCAAGCAGAGGTTGATCAGTCTGCTGCAAGTGGTACTGGACCTATTTGTAGCTACGGCTGCGCAGTGCCGGGGTGCCATCAGTGGTGTCGTCACAATCACACACCTCACTGTAGGCATCGCTGCTTGAATCACAGTTGGGAATAGAATGGTTGTGGAACACAAAGGTTTTCGTGGTAGATGGAACAGCAGTGCCGCTGCCGTGTCTGCCAGTGACTTGCAAGACGTTGACAGCGTGGGCCCTAGTACAGACCCTGATTGCAGTTGGGAACATGTTGAGTTACCTGACACGGAAAACTTGTTTGGCAATTTTGACAACACTGACACTTTGGATTCATCGCTTGAAGCCTTGGACAGTCATGATGTTTTGCCTTTACAGGAGCCACGTTTTATGCACCCGAAGCCTAAGTCTGTTGCAAACAAACCTGAATCTTTGTCAGCTGAGAGCTTAGCGGTCAAGCGCACTGCAGATGAGTTGGCATCGAGACATGTCCATAAGTTGACTTCGGACTTGAAACAGCCCTGGCAGAAGGGACCATTAGCAGGTTTGTTTGCCAGGCCGAAACCTTTTTGGGATCGTTTGCAGTCATGTCAACAGTTGCCGTTAGTTGGACTTGCTGACCACATCACCGCAAGCTCAACAGACAGTGCGGTGCCCATGCAGATTCAACACACTGAACTTACAGTGCAGCGTATCAAGTCATCACGTTTGGTGTCATCAACAGACAACTTTCGACATGTTGCACTTGCCAGGTTTAAAACGATGGTTCTTTTAGACCTTGACTGCGCTCGTCTTGGACAGTCCCTGAGGAGCTTTGCAGGTACCCTGTGCTCAGATTCAGAGTTGTCTCAGGTTTTCATGGATGTTTTCTCACCGAAGGCCACAGGAACAATTCTGAAGAGGTGCAATGCGTTATGGCGTTTTTCATGCTGGCTTCAGACAAGTGGAGGTGGTTCACCATTCAAACAAGATGAGAGGGTTGTTTACGCTTACATCTGTTATTTGAGGGACTCGGGCGCAGGCCCCACAACACCTTCACAATTTGTAGAAGCCTTGAGGTTTGCAGATGTTTTGATTGGGTTCATAGCTACATCATTGACAGACATGCTCAGCCCAAGGGTGACGGGAGCAGCACATGCTTGCTACATGACCAAGAGGTTTAGGAAACCTGCAGAGGTGCTGAAGGTCGCCGAGATAGCTGCACTGGAGGACATATGTTTGAATGACCCAGAATTGCATCGACGACTGATTGCTGGACATTTGCTCTTTTGCTTCACTGCCGCGGCAAGATGGCACGATTCAATGTATGTCATTTCAATGGAGATCTCAACAGCTGGACCTGTCACCCTTCTTGAGGCCATGACTTCCAAGCACAAGTCATCGCGTGGAAAGGAGCAACAAATGGAGCTTCTGCCATTTACTGCGCTGGGCCATGTTACAGTTGAGGACTCATGGGGGGACAGCTGGATGAAGTCACGTGATGCAGCTGATGTTGGATCTTGGAATTACTTCCTGAATTCCTGGTCGGAGAGTGATCACACTTGGATAGATTCCCGCATGTCCACAGCAGAGGCAACTGGTTGGCTTCGTGAACTGTTGGAGCCCCATGTTGGAAGCGACAGAGCCTCTTCCCTGACAGTGCATGGATTGAAGGCTACCTTGTTAAGCTGGGCGGCCAAAAGTACCCTTTTTACTGCGGATGAGCAATTGGCATTGGGGCATCACGTCAACGCCCAATACAGGTCTGCCATGATCTACTCACGGGACAACCAGATTGGCTTGTGCAAAAAGGTTCACGCCATGTTTACACGCATCAGGGAAGGCACCTTTGACCCCGATGCGACCAGGGTCAGCCGCTTGTTTCAGCTGGCTTTTGAGACAGCTCTGGAAAGAGATGGTGGCAGCAGTGACAGCAGCTCCAGCGATTCAGAGGACGCATCCTCAGTGGCTTCATCAAATGGAGAGCACTCCAGCTTGGGTCAAAAGACCACGTACATGCGCTTGGAGGCTGATGACATTGAAGCAGACCAATGTTTGATTAACAAAAGCTCAAAGGTGATTCACCTGCTTGCCGGAGAGGACGAGAAATTCTGGTGTGGCAGGAGACCCTCGGCTTCTTTCAGCAGGGCCTCAAGGGATGAGATATCAACACCTGAGGTAGTGGTTTGTGCAAGCTGTTCACACGCTTACCGTGCTTCGAGGAGAGACCTTTGAGTTTGCTTTTGGTTTTTGACCATGCCAATGGAATGCAATGTTGGCGCTTGAGGTGCGACCGATCTGAGAGTGCACACTGCCGAAGTATAAAAGATGTTTGCATACTAGCAGTGGGTCAGCGAGTAAGTTTGAATTGACATCAACATGCGTTTAAGATGCTCATCCAAGATTTTTCTAACTGAAGTTCGCATCATGTTGATAGCCACAGAAATCACGCAAGTCTGGATAGCAAAAACCACTTGGTACCCAATGCCTAGCATGTCTCGTGCGGCAGAGGAATTATAACCAAGTGTCAAAAGCTTATTCAACTTCGTGGTGCACCCATTGGCTCATCAGCAACATGCTGCAAAAAGCAGCTGAAACAATACCTGGTGAAGCTTCGCAATTCACACCCACTTGAGAAACATTTTTTCAAGCTGTTCATGAAGTTTTTAAATTTGAATGTGATCAACTAGGAGTACGTCAAGGTGACCATTATTTCCTCACACACCGCGTGACTTGCAACGACACATGGCCATAGATTCGAAAGTTGCCTTTCAAAACCGGGCATTGGAGCTGGGAATTGATCAGACAGAGGTTGATGCGCTTGAGGTTGCAGGTATCAATAGCTATGCAGCACTTACCAACCTGGTCAAAATGATGACACTGCACTGATAGCATTTTTGACCACTACGTTTGGGAACGCACCATCAGCTGCTTCAACCACTCGTTTCAGGCGACTGTTTTTCGAAGCACATGCGCTGTCTTTGGAGGACCTTAAATCCAGGGCCGATAGGTCGGAGTCAAGTGAGGCAAGGATCATTCCACTTGCTGAGAAAATGGATCGAATACGTTTGCAGAAACAGCGTTTGACAGGTCTGAGTTTCACGCCACAGAGCGAGCCTTCTCACTCCCTCATAGACAGAGTTTGTCAACAGTTGGAAGACAATGTAATCACATACATTGAGCTGAATCGATGTTCGTCCAGGCATGACGAGGCCTTGCACTCCAAGATTGACACCTCACTGGCGCTTGACAATGCAGGTGGCTTGCGACTCAGCAAAAAGCAACGTCTTGACGATGTGAATGTGACAGGTGAACACAAACTGAGACAGGCGTTTTTGAGAAGGTCACTGGCTTATGACTTGGCTGGTATCGCCACTTTTGCTGTGCTGGACTTGTGGACGCAAAAACTTTTCGAAAAGATGAATGAAGCCCCACTGTCTAACTACAGGCACCTTAGTGTTGAGCAGGTGATCAATGCTGACAAGGCTTTGTGGGTCAAAGTATCTAATGATACTCGTGGCCGGCTGCAGCCGAAGACCGGAGCAGATAAGCCTTTTGATGTTTCCTTCGAAAAATTTGCGGAGCATCCGGAAGTCTTGCAGCACTTGACACCGCTGCAAAGCGTTGGGGCTCACAAGCAAGACACGTCTTCAACGTTCACTGGTGGAAAAGGCAAAGGTGGAAATCACAGTGATGGAAAAGGAAAGTCATCGAAGGGCAAAGGCAAGGTCAATACTGGCATTGCAGTACCGGATGATTGTGAGATTTTTGTCGATGGAAAACAGCTTTGCAAACGATGGCAGGTTGGGCGTCGCACGGCCAAAATCAAACCTGGAAAACGTTGTATGGTTGGGTACCACATGTGCTGGAAGAAGTCATGTCACAAACTTCACCCGGGCAATGAATGCCCACACTGACTTGGTAAGGTGTCCAGCAATAGAAGTTTCACTTTGGAAGCTACAACGTTTGAAATCTGTTGTGGCTCAGCTGGATTGTCGGACGCATTAAGGCGCCTCGGATTCCAGGTTTACCCGGTGGACCACTCAGCAAATAGGCATTTACCTAAGGTCAAAGTCTTTGTTCTGGATGTGTCGAATTCAAATCAATTGATGCTGCTTGAAACAATGCTACATCACTGCAAGCCGTGTCACGCCCACTTGGGCCTTCCTTGTGGAACATGCTCCCGTGCCAGAGAGAAACCTATGCCGTCCAAGCTTGGAGGTCATATGGGACCACAACCCTTGCGCAGTGCTGAGCATCTCAGAGGTTTTCCTCACCTAACAGGCGCTGACAAAATTAAGGTCGATCTTGCAAACCAGTTGTACAACTCAGCCATCAGAATTTTGCAAATTTGCATGGTGCTCGGATGCTTGGTTTCGATTGAAAATCCAGCGCGTTCTTGGCTTTGGGCGCTTCTTGCAGTTTTGGTAAAGGATACAAATGACGAGCTCTTCATCTCATGGTTTGCAAACTTAGAGAGCATCTATTTTGACGCATGTGCGCATGGCAGCCTGAGAGACAAAAGGACCAAATTGCTAGCAACTCAAGGTGTCTTCACATCATTGGCGGCTGACTGCCCCCAGAACCATGTGCATGCGTCATGGCAACCTTACAAGAGTGATCAGGGTGTAATATTCCCTACAGCAGCAGAGGCGGAATATCCAAGCACCTTGTGCAAGCGCATGGCAGATTGCGTGCTTGAGGCATCAGTTCAACTGGGTGTCCAACCGACACCATCATTGAGACTCAAAGATCTTCTCCGGTTGGGTTTGGGTCAACAAAGCATTAGACACCCTCCGCTGGTGCCTGAGTACAAGGAATTTTTACACCTGAGTGACATTTCCAAGCATCCTGCCCACAAACTGCTTGCTGCTCCACCACACCATGGGGAAACCAACACTGAGCAGCAACAGGACCTTGAAGCAGGGCCTGTCAAGAGGCCCAGAACCACCTTTAAGTACGGCGTTTGGCACGAACCAGAAGAGTTTCTGAAGAAAGCTCAGGAGGCAAAACACCCCATTGACCAAGACTCCTTTCTGCATCAAATTACAAAGGACGCCGTCGTACAAGTAGTTGGAACTTGCCCGACAAAGCTGGCCAAAGAGCGCTTGTCTACTGTTTTTCATGTGAAGAAATTGTCCATAGACCTTAAGCTGCACGAGAAGGAACTCAAAGCAAGCTTGCACCCAGACGTTAGTCGATGTGTCAATAGCAAAAACATACTGCTCTTTGAGAAGCTTCTGCAGCAACTGAACTACTGGGACATGGACGTTGTCGACCTTTTGAAATTTGGAGTTCCTTTGGTGGGATTGCAAGAACCGCCGACCGGATACCAGCGACTGTTGGTGCCAGCAAGCATGACAGAAGATGAACTGACGGCGTCGGCTAGATGGCGCAGAACCAGCATAATGCAAACAGCCAGACAGCTTTCCAAGAGCGAGGAAGATGCTTTGTTGGAGGCAACAGCCTCTGAAGTTGAGAAGGGCTTTTTGCAAGGCCCATACTCCGAAGCTGAAATGTCAGTCCTGATGGGAACCGAATGTTGGTCATTGAACCCGCGCTTTGTCTTGTTTCAAGGGGCGAGCCAAAAGGTGAGGGTCATAGATGATGCAAAGCAGAGCGCAGTCAACTCAGCGTATTCATCGACAGTGAAACTCTAATTGCAAGACGTGGATTACGCAGCGGCTATGGTTCTGGGTGCTATGCGTGAAGCTGGACTTCCTGGCTCTGACGCATTGGAATGGCTCGGCAAGACTTTTGATCTCAGCAAAGCCTATAAACAACTAGCTGTGCTGCCTGATCATCAGCTCCATGCTATAGTTGGATTTCCGCTTGGGGGGAAGTGGCAGTTTTACAAAAGCGTTTCATTGCCCTTTGGCTGCACTGGAAGTGTTTACGGCTTCGTGCGCATATCACAAGCCCTTTGGTTTCTGCTGTCAAAACTGCTCAAAGCCATCACTTCTCACTACTTTGACGACTTCCCGACGGTTGAGCGATCAGATGGTTGCAGGGTCCTGACATTAGCCTTTAGCGCATTGCTCGACTTGCTTGGATGGGATCATGCAAAAGAAGGGGACAAAGCTCTAAACTTCTCGGCAACATTTGACTTGCTTGGCGTGACGTTTGACCTCAGTGGTATGAGCTTAGGCACCTTGGTGGTCAGGAATAAAACAAGTCGGATTGAAAAATTGTGTGCAATGCTTGATCAGGTGGCAAAAGACAAAAACATTTCCGCTGCGAAAGCGAGTGAGCTTCAGGGGCTTCTCAATTTTGCAGTCAGCTTCTACTTGGGCCGGAGCATGAAGCATTTGGTGTCTGCTTTTATGCCTTTTGCCGACAAACCCCATGCAGAATCTCCGTGCTTCTGATTTGGAAAGTCTCTGCTTGTACACGAAAACAATGCTTTTGGAACAGCGCCCACGCGTGCACTCAGTTCTGAATGTGGGGCGTCCAGTGGTCGTTTTTACGGACGGAGCCTGGGAGGATGGCATTGCTACTGCAGGAGCAGTTCTGGTTGATGGCGACATCCGCCTCGCGTTTCAACTTGAAGTGCCACACGCTCTTGTGGACCACTGGTTAGCAAATGCTGGAGAACAGATAATATCGCAGGTTGAGCTATGGGGCCTGGTTCTGCTCAAATGGTCGCGCCGAGACCACTTGCAGAATCGCAGGGTCATCGAATGGATTGACAATGAGTCTGCAAGGATTTCCTCCATAAAAGCCAACAGCCATTCTCCCCACCATGCGAGCGTTGTCTAGGATGTTAGCTGATCTCGATCTTCGCTATCCAGCCTTTTCTTGGACAGAACGAGTTTGCTCGTATTCGAACCCAGCAGACTTACCTTCTCGAAACCGCTTGAAAGAAGCCATGAAGAGGTACTGCCTGGATGATGGCGGTGTTGTCAAAGCCCCTGCCGACCTAGTGAACACTTTGATCCAATTTCACCGATCTCCTTACATGCTGCTCACAACGACGGGGGAGAATCACTGAGCAACATATGTGACAACTCACCGCTGTGAGATTCACACTACTAAAAGGCATAACAGATGCGATAAACTGTCATATGCCTCGCTTGGTGACCGAACGGAAACAGCAAACTCCCCAGACCAACCTAGAGCATGCTGAGAGGAGTAAAAAGGATGCTTTGAGTGCGCACATTCAAGATCCGACAGTTCAAACATTTTTCAATCATTTTTCTTGCAGTTTGACATTCGTCACGGCGCTCCGTTGCGTATCGAGATTTCATTTTTCCGGCGTATACACACACACATATATATATGCTACATGAATATATATATATATATATGTACGTCAGGTATCGTTGGTTTTGTTTTTGTGTAAGTTGTCCCACGAACTTCGCGTAGCGCTTACCCTTACATGTTTGCCTGAGTTTGTTCTAATATAAGATGAGTGCTGTCACGAAGTGAGAGCACAATCTTTGTAAGAACAGAGCAAAATTTTTAACAACAAATTTTGCAACTCAGGGCAAAACAATTTTTATAAGGGTTACACCTTGCGCAGCATGTGTTTTTCTGAATAATAATTCTAAATGGACAACTCACACAACCAAAACAAAACAACACAACATTCCCTTGGTTTCACTTATCAATTTTATATTCGTGTTGCATTTTTCGTATCAAGGGTGAGGTAGAGGAGGGTTTAAAAAACCTTTCTTCTACAACCAACTTTTCTTTCGGCCCACCCTCCCTTAACCCTACTTTGGGGGGGAGAATCACTGAGCAACATATGTGACAACTCACCGCTGTGAGATTCACACTACTAAAAGGCATAACAGATCCGATAAATTGTCATATGCCTCGCTTGGTGACCGAACGGAAACAGCAAACTCCCCAGACCAACCTAGAGCATGCTGAGAGGAGTAAAAAGGATGCTTTGAGTGCGCACATTCAAGATCCGACAGTTCAAACATTTTTCAATCATTTTTCTTGCAGTTTGACATTCGTCACGGCGCTCCGTTGCGTATCGAGATTTCATTTTTCCGGCGTATACACACACACATATATATATATATATATGCTACATGAATATATATATATATATATATGTACGTCAGGTATCGTTGGTTTTGTTTTTGTGTAAGTTGTCCCACGAACTTCGCGTAGCGCTTACCCTTACATGTTTGCCTGAGTTTGTTCTAATATAAGATGACAATGTAACAGCTGACGAACTCAGTCGCTGGGATTTCCAATCTCCTCTTCCACCTCGATTTAACCATGCTAATCGAATCAGGATCGATTTGAAAGATATGTGGTTGATGCGAATTCATCCGATAGTTGTTCCACCATCAACATATTTAGCTTGGAACCTTCCAACCTGATTTTTCCCGTGCTGGTCATCACACCTTCGTTTGGGGATATAATATTGCGTTATTCCCATCACTTTAATAGTTTCACTTGGTCTTTAAATCTATCCATGAAAGGATGGGTTTGCTAACATGATGCAGAAACAGCTGCATTAACCAACACTGGAAAAAGGAAAGCTACGAAACATTTGCAACAGTGCTCATAGCTGTCAACATGGTATTCATGGCCACTGCATGAAGGATGACACGCACAAACCGAGAGAGTACAAGCACAAGGAAACCAGTTCCATTTTCATGTGAAATCACATGAACGTTTCTGCACAGAACTCCTGTGTGACCGTGTGCAGGCCCTGGTTCAAAACAATAGTGTCCGAGCATTGCCGTTCTTTTCGCATGGTAGCGGAGCTCGGCCCTAGCTCCAGCTACTGATCGTCGCTGCGAGCCATTGACTGACTTTTGGACATTGCTGGCATTGACAGGTTTGGAATCCGCAAGTGGAACATTTCTTTAACTCTGGATATCAGGTTGCATCCTGACCTCAGGTCTATTTGCATTTCTGGTATATACACAGGTTTCTGAAGTGGCGTGGGATTCTTGGTTTCATTGCGTGGCTTTGCAACAGTGGATTTACGTTGTGGTTCACTTCTCAGTGATTATTGACTGCTTGAGGTTGATACAATCTTTTAGCTTGGTGCATTGCAATACAGGGATTTTCATTGATCTGACTGTGCAGTGACAGCTGGATTGTTGGTGGTTTTGGGATGTCCCAGCAGGTGGATGCTGGAATATTTCAGGCTGCGCTCCTGCAGGTTGCAGAGGCAACACAGAGGGCAGCTGATGCTGCTCAGGCAGCTAGTGCAGCTGCGACAGCCAGTTCAGCGGCTGTTACAGCCACCTCGACAGTAGGTGGATCGTCAGGGAGCAGCAGCAGTCGACCACAAGCTCAGGTTGATTGGTCGAAGTTAGTGAACAAACCTGCAGTGTTTGACTTTCCGAATCAGGAGCAGGACCAGAGACATTTTCGTGACTGGTTGTGGCAACTTTCACAGTATTTGATTTGTGTCGACGAAGGTTTCAGCAAAGAATTGACTCAAATTACAGATGATCCTTCGAAGATGTTGGATGTTGATTCAGCTTCCATTGATGTCAGACAGCGTTCAGCAAAGTTATACGGTTTGCTTGCTGGTTTGGTGAAGAATCGTGCACTCTCTATAGTGCGGGCCGCACCTCCTGGGAATGGCTATGAAGCCTTGCGGCAACTAGTGTTGTCGATGAGGCCTAACACCCAGGCCCGTGGCCTATCCTTGCTGGCCAGTGTGACTGCATGGCCATCCTTCCAGATGAGCAAACCCCTACAAGCTCAGCTTTTGAAGTTGGAGGATGCATACGAAGAGACTCGAAGAGCTGGCACTACGCTTGCAGACGAGCTGAAGTGTGCCATTTTGCTACGTTGTTTGTCGGGAGCTTTGAAGACCCATTTGAGTTTGAGTTTGAAGGAAAGCTCAACATACCTTGAGCTCAGGGAGGAGATCTTGCGATTATACATGTACTTGTTTCGTGTTTGTTTTACGGGGCTTCATTTTGTTTCGTTGAAACCATTTTGGCTCCAAGACTTACATTTGCGTTTTATCTTGGGCGTTTATTTGAAAAAAAACAGAAACAACAAAGAACTACAAACATTACACGGCAGGCTGTCAACTTCCAACCAGTACTTTGGTTTTTACTGTTGGTGCTTGTCATGTCAGATTTCATGACAAATTTTCAATTTACATTCTCCTAGTCATCTCTCCCGGCTGGCGTCGGGCAATGCTGGTTCGAAATCCTCGGAGGGGCATCATCGGGCCCTCAGAACGTTTTTACCAGGTTTTTGCAGCACCTCAACATCGACATCTTTTCACTGGCATTTTGTCATTTTTGACTGACTCATCTGGTGCATTTACAGAAGACATTATTGTGAGTTTTTCACTGTGTTCGGCATTCTTGCGTTTTTGGACCAGCATTTTCAGAAGGGTGGATACCCCATCAGTGGCAGACGCCTTGACACCGGCGGCATCACCGGCCGCATCATCAGATCATTTTCCAGAAGATTGGACTGATGCAATTTGATGACTGGGATTTGATAACAGAAGGCAGCCAGGTCATGGACAGGACCTGTCATATTTGTGCCCCGTTTCAGGTTTCTTCATTGGCGACATCTTCGAGGACACCTTCAGGCGACCTTTTGCCAGCAGCTTCAAAGTCCCGACCTTTGCAACGTCCGGACATTCAAGTTAGACCCAGGATTGGGGCCCCTACTCAGTTGAACTCCCAACGCAATTCTCTGGCTTCTGGGATTGATGTTTCACATGCCATGTTTGTGGATGTTTCACAGTTACAATATGCTGAACCTTTGCAGCGTCCAACACCGACATCAGTGCCGGTGACATCGGCTCCAATGCCGACACACCGCGCACCTTTGCCAGCACCTCAGATGCGGAGTGGCTACAGACCATCATCCGGGCCCAAATTGCGATTGAGCGCATCAGCAAATGGCATGACAGTATCACACCTGCAGAGCGACCCAACAAAGTTGCCCAGTCGTTCAACTAGGAAATTAAACCTTCAAACCAGAGGACCAAAACAACGACGTTTACTGCAAACATCCAGAGGGAATGCGTGCAGCACTTGTCCAGCAGTACAATCGATCTGGCCTCAGTTTGTTTCTGCGTTTTTAAGTTTATCACCGATGCTTAAACAATTACCCACAAGTGCTCATTTTCATGAACACTGCCAACGCATTTTGGATGGATTTGCATCTTCCACCATTTACAGGTATCTGTCAACCTTGATGCAATTCCACGCAGTTTGCATATCCATGCGTGTAGCTCTGAAGGGACTGACGGAAATTCAATTTGCAGACATCATATTGGCGGGACGTTCGAGTGAACCACGTGTCAGCCCCAGCATGTGCATCAAGAGTGTCAGATGGGCGTTCAAACAGTTTGGCATTCAGTGTTTTCAGGTCTCATTAGGACCCCTCATTTCATCATTTACAAAAGAGCATGTGATTTCAGACCGCAGAGAAGCACTCCCATACAGTTTGCTGATCATCATTCAATGGGAACGGAGCTTGCTTCAGAGTTCCGCAACACAACAAGAGGTTTTAGGCCTGGGCAGTCTTTTACTGATGTTATGGAGCGGCATGAGATTCGCTGATTTGCAGCGTACTTATCTCAGCAGCCTGGCGTACAACATGACCTCATTGAGGGGGTTGTCCTACAAGACCAAGACATGTAAGTCAGGATGTCCTTTCGGATTGCTATGTCGAGGACTTTTGTCCTCTGGATCGTATACCTGGGTTCATAGATACCTGCAGGAGATCGACTCCCTATACTTCCAGTTTGGCAGGCAACCGAATGAGATTGACCTCATTGTCCCGAGCTTGGACCAATTGGGTCAGGAAGAATGTCCGGGCCCTATGACTTATCCAGAAGCGTTACATTACTGCAGATACTTTTTATCCTTGCCATGGAGGAAATCCCCCATCAATACGGAAAGCACGGCACAACATTACACGGTGCATGGTTTGAAAAGCACGCTACTGTCCTTTGCCAACCAACTGCAACTGGCACCGGCGTTGAGACGCCTACAGGGGAAACACACGGATCCCCTGCAGAGTACACGACTGTACTCCCGAGATGATGTCAATGGAGCCTTGCAATTGCAAGATGAAATCATCGCAGCAGTTCAGAAAGGATGGAGACCTCACACCCCGTTGGGAAGAGGGGGACAGATTCCTATTCAAGAACAGGAATTTACTTTGGAGAAATAAAAAAGGATGCAGGTGACCCCAAATGGTCCTTTTTCGCTTTCAACAAACCACCAGTTTTTGATGCTGATCATTTTGATCAGGGGGATGAAGAACAATCCACGAGCTCTTCATCATCGTCAGACTCCAGTGAGTCATCATCATCTTCTTCAGTCAAGGTGACCAAGAAGGCTCCTAAAACCATACCGGACTCATTTGATGAAGTTGCGATGGGCGTCTTTCGGCAAACTTGGCATGTGGTGATGAATCCACAAACGGAGGAAGGCTTGCCTCCGGAGTTCAAATGGACCACAGCATGTGGCCGGCGTTTTCACCATGAAAGCTTTTCAATTCGTGATGAATTGGCATTGTCTACAGGCCACGTACTGTGTGCCCACCCAGGATGTAAAAAAGGATGGATCTCAGTTGGCATCCTTCAATAAAATTCATCGGCGTTGCTCGCTAATTTGGCGACCCCTGCAGTTTGTCCAAACCAAACAGCCATAAGACCGGAAAAAGTGAGCCCAGCGGCTCAGTCATGGCCACCATGACAAATTAACCCAGACGCAATCTGGGCGCATACATGGACAATTCATTCAACAGGTCTTGCAATCAATCTCTATTTCCGCAGCCCCTTTTTGGAGCATGGTTCAAAAAAAAAATGGTGGAAGACTGGTTTTGCATTTTATACATGTTACATGTCATTGGAACATCCCATCACCTCATTTTCATCACTTCACACCTTATGGTTCCCCCCATGGGTTTTCCCTATATTCACCCCGCATTTGATACTCAACTTCCTTATAGGGAGGCATTCACGGCTTTTCAATATTTTATTGTGCGTTGGATTGGTTGATCCGTCAAGCGTTGCGATGGACTCCAAACTGGAGGATATCCTGCAGACAGCAGGAGTGGATCCAGCGATGGCTAATCAGCTGGTAGCTGACGGCTGGACACTAGCTACATTTGCATGTTGCGCTTTGGACATGCCAGACTTTGACAAATCAATAGATGAGATGATGGCTGGACGACAGGCCTTGTCCCTTTTGGAGAAATCACAGTTGCGAGCTGCGTTCAAAGCATGCTCCACTCAGGTACCCACAGATCCTAAGGTACCACCAGGGGATGCCGCATCACACGCAAACATAGCCACCTCGACCAGCTCATGGAGCGAATCGTTTGCACCTAAGTTGGATAGCCAGGTCATACAGCAGCTGAAACAGCAGTTTTTGAAGAATTACCCAAGTGAAATTCTGGATGGAGCCACTATGCCATCCACCAGGCTCTTGTCGCTGGCTTACCATCAAATCCAGAAAAATCATTGGGCATGGATCCCATGGAAATACCGCATGAGTGTGGAAAAATCTGAAGAACTGCAAGCTCAAAGGTCTTCCAAACAACCAAAGATGGAAGGATTAGCATTGCATTCGCTGTTGCTGGATGAGCCTCCGGCGCTGGAAGTCTCCAACTCAGGGATGGGTTTGAATGCCATCCGGACTCTCATGGATTTACACAATGTGGCTATTGCAATGTGTAAGGGTGCACACTTAGCCAATCTCAAGCAGTACTCCCATCGGTTTCTTCACTATTTGACTCAGAAGGTGGACTCCGAGACAGGTTTGCGCACAGCAAATGTGATCGAAGCTCAAGCAGCTGACCGCCAGATTTGGGGTATCATGGCCGAACTCCTGAATGATCGTGATTGGAATATGGATGATGCACTTCATGAATTGACGCATGTACGTCAGGATTTGGCGGGATTGCTCCAGCTCCGCCCCAAGATGCCCAAGCCACAACCTTGGCCCTCATCATCTCCATTCAGTTCGACAAGTTCTCAGAAAGGCAAAGGGAAGCAAACCCAACCCAAAGGAAACGGGAAACAAAAAGGGAAACCCCAATGGGTGACTGAAACACGTAATCCAGATGGATCCACAAAAGCTCTGTGCATGCGCTTCCAACTCGGCAAATGCAAGCTATCGGACTGCAAATTCAGTCACCAGTGTGCATACCCGACAGCAGCGGGCCATGCTTGCGGAGGAAGTCATGGTGCAATGGAGCACAAGCAAATTCCTCACTGAATCCAGTTGCAAGACAGCAACCTATCAATGTGGACGTTGATATGCAGGAAGCCCCCAAAGCAGCAGTTTCAAGATCATCAGGTCTCACCGTTTCATCTCAGATGCAGACATCAATAGCTCAGGGTACTGTCAATTCAGACCCGCTATCGCCGAGTTTCACACCATCTCCGGAGGAGAAGATTTCACATGTGCCGCATTTGGCGGCGGCGAGTGCATTCGGCAATATCAAATCGATGGGACTAAATCGCATTTTCTGGACATTTGTGCAGGGGCTACTAGACCATTATCTCGATCATGTTTAAGCGGAGGCAAAGGTGTTTTATCATTTGGTATTTTGATTCACTCAGCGATGCATTTACTTGATGACATTGCATATGAACAACTGTTGAGACTGCGCGCCAGTGGATCAGTCGCTTACGCAGATGTCAGCCCTAACTGTGGACAGTACCCCAGACTCAAATTGCGTAAAAGTGGCCCTCCTCTATTGAGAACACCGGACCACCTGAAGGGAGTGCCTGCACTTCACCAGCGGACCTTTTAAAGGTACAAGAGAGTCATACAATGCTTTCCAGATGTCTTCACTGTTTAATTTTGGTATTTCCGACAGGAGGACACGTGCATCTCGAGCACCTAAGTCAGCCATGTCATGGATGGAGCCAGAGGTCCAAGCATTCTAATTTTTATTGGAGCATTCTGCATTACTCTTACAGCATGTGTTTTTGACTGGAGCATTCACAAAGCTTGGATGTTTGCGGCAAGTTTCTCCGACCTGCAGCAACTTGGATCCATATGCCAGCACTTGCCATCTGACCACGAATCCATTGTAGGCCGACATAATGTAGCAGGTGACTTTCTTTTTGAGCAAGATACAGCGTGTTATCCCCACTCAACGGCGGACGCATCTGCAGAAAGTGTCGTCCCTCTTTTGTTTGATCACCCTGTAGATTTAGCTTGGCCTTTTCCAAATGCAATTTTACCCACAAAAGGGTACGATGACCTTCCTACAAGCTCAGAAGAGGGTGGTGGCCCTTTTTACCTGCAGAACTGGAGTCAAACCAATTGGCAGTCAACTGATTCTCTTCACAATTCGCGGGTTCAATGGCGGCAAAAGATTTTGGATCAACAATTGGATCGTCAATTATTAGCCTACGTGGCACAGGGACCATCAGCGGACCCACTGTTTTCTGCGGAGACACTGCACCCATTTATGAATGAGCTTAATCAATTCATTCGAATGCATGGGCTGACTCCAGACTGGTCCATTCGGGAACACCAGCCCATGCGATTAGGTATTTTGACAGCATTGAGCACAATTCTGGGTGACAACTACACCACATTCTTTGGTGCCCTACAAGCTGGCGTCAGTACTGGATTCAAAACTGACCTACCTTTATTCCAATGATTTCCCCGCAATGATCACTCAATCGGCACTACAACAAAGCTGTCCGCACACATGTACAACTGGGCCTCATATGAAAGCAATTTGGCACTCATTCGGTCACTGGTCGCCGAAGAAATATTGCAAGGATGGGTTTACAATTCGATGGAGATCTCGCTGATGCCCAGGCTGCATTTCCTGTTGGTGTTGCCCTAGGCAACCTTGGCGTTGCTACCAGCGATTCTAGATCACCACAACTCGTTGTAGACAACAATGTATGCAGCCTCAACTCAAAGTCTCATATACCTGAGCGGTCAACGCTGCCGACCGCAACGGATCTGCTGCGTAGCTACCCTCCTAGGGTTGCAAACATGACTTCATGGCCGTGTCTCTTACATTAAATCAACCCGGTCACGGAGGCATTCCTTTGTGTCTTGGTATTATGTTGTCGCATTCCAATTTCTTGGAAACAACTGGAATTAGATTCAACGATATCATGGATCGGTTGGCGATTCAATTTTCAGTCATGCTTTGTGGCACTTCCTATGAATAAACTGGACAAATTTGATACTATTTGCAATAACTCTCTCAATTCTCTCAAAAAAAAATCATCGGTATCATGATGGGGGTCAATCGACTTTTCCCTTACATGCACATTTGGCGCATTATTTTTACAAAGATCTGTATGCCATTCCAGCCATGCACTTCAGCATCGACAGAGATCATTGGACTGTTGTGGCACCATGCCTTACTGATGATTTGAGTTTTCATACTTGGCCATCAAATCCTGCAATTCCTATTCAAGGGAAACTGATTTCTGTAAGACATCAATCCGTGGAATCCTTAGACGACCTCTCCAACTTCGTCTATCTGACCGCCATATTTGGATGCGCATTCGTGACCTGACCTCCAACAAATGAAATTTATCCTCGGATACAATTCCAATGATTTCACTGTATCAATCATGGTTTTGCACCGGCAACCACTGAGACCTATGCGACCTAAAAATCTTTGGATTGGAGAAATTGCAGCTGATGCATGCGCCGCTGGCTTCCCTACTCAAATAGGAGATTTTATTCGAGCGAAGAACCGTGACTGTCGCTGGTTTTCCAAAAAATATTCTCATGCGGACTTTTTGCAACTTCACATTGATCTGGACCCCGATCTCCAGAAAGCCATTACCTGTATGGAAACGCTTGCATACATGGGTATCTTGCATTAGCCGCCAGACACTTCGATGCCACCAGGATACCGATCAAATTAGCATTCTGGAGTGACAATACAGGCATAGAGATGGCTGTACACCATGTCCTTGGTCATTCAAATGAAGACGCAGATGCATTATCGCGTATGAATGTTGAAATCGAATATCCCAACGTTTTCTCACTGTCCGACAGAATCCGTTTGCCTCTGTCAGAACTTGGATGGATAGTCCGTCACCTAGCTTTGTTCCTATGGAAACCAAAATTCCCTGGAAGTTACCAATTCCTTGAACACCATTTCTCTTGCTGGAAATCATTCACTTTCATTAGGGGGTATATTGGCGATTGATTTCCCCTGATAACTTTACTTGGGTGACAAATATCATCAAGGGAAATGGATCCAAATAACAATTTGGATCTGCCAGTCCAACATGGATCAATTATTCCAGCAAGAGAAAAGAACAATAATAATAAAGCGCGAGTGTCGGCTATTTTAAGTTATAATTATATGCTTTTATAAATTAAATAGAAAGCAAATGTAAGTCTTAGTAGAACTATACATGTACTTGTTTCATGTTTGTTTTACGGGGCTTCATTTTGTTTCGTTGAAACCATTTTGGCTCCAAGACTTACATTTGCGTTTTATCTTGGGCGTTTATTTGAAAAAACCCACCCACCCACTACCTCAAGCTGTTGTTTCTACTTTCTGGTTCTTCCAAGGGAAATACGTTTCACCCCACCGAGTCAATCGGGAGCTTGATCGCTTCCACAATATGAAGGTACTCTTCCTTCTTCGGTCACTATAGTCACCAAGTGACAACTACCAAGGATCACCTTTCAACATGAATGGGTGACAAATATCATCAAGGGAAATGGATCCAAATAACAATTTGGATCTGCCAGTCCAACATGGATCAATTATTCCAGCAAGAGAAAAGAACAATAATAATAAAGCGCGAGTGTCGGCTATTTTAAGTTATAATTATATGCTTTTATAAATTAAATAGAAAGCAAATGTAAGTCTTAGTAGAACGGGACCGTGCTCATCAAAAGTGGCCCAATTTGGTTTCAACTACAGATGAGTCTTCAGATGTGAAACCCATGGAAGTCGACAGAATCCAAGGCAAAGGAAAAGGCCATGACAAGGGCAAAGGTAAGAATGACAAAGGAAATCAGAAAGGAAAGTCAAAGCAGAAGGGTAAAGACAAAGGCAAGACCAAGAACAACAATGACAAAGGCGGTCAATCAGGAAAAGGAAAGTCAGTCCAAAATCCAGGGAAAGGCAAAGGAAAAGGCGAACGAGTTTGCTATGTCTGCAACAAGCCTGGCCATCTGGCCAAAGACTGCTGGAACAATGTGAGGAATGTGCAAGCAGCTTCATCAGTTGGGGATTCGAGTCAGTCTGGATGGACGAATCTCACAAGTGTTTCTCAACAGGGAGCTGGCAATCAATCAGTTCAACAAGTTCCTCAACAAGGTCAGCAGCAATCGATGCAGCAGGCAACTCAGTTTCGAGTTTCACGAATCTCCGAATCGGTGGAGACGAATTCATTTGTGTGTGATTTGCGTGACAGTCCATTGTCAAGCCCCAAGTCGTTTTCAGGTTCTGTTAGAGCCATGCATTTCTACATTGGGGATGACACTGAAGATCATTTGCAAGAGGGAGAAATTCGAACAATCATTAGTGAGTTACCTTCAGATGCTGGTGAGATGTGTAACATCCTGTTAGACTCTGGAGCAGATGCAGCAGTTTTCCCCATGCAATTTGCAGCTTGTGGGATGGATGCGTGTGAGACCTCAGCCAAGCTACATGATGCACAAGGTCAGGTGATTCCAGTTCAATCGATGCGTGATGTTGAAATTACATTGATGGATGAAACTGGTAAACTTGTTCTTTTGAGAGAGCGTGTTGCAGTGTCTCCGCATGTCAGCCAGCCTATTTTGTGCTACGGGCGACTCCTACAAGCAGGTTGGGGAATGGACTCCAGGGAACAGGCATTGGTGCACGAAGCTGGTGTGAAGGTTCCAATCGATTTGCAGAACATGAGCTTGACAGTCAAAGGTTGGATTCGTGTGATCAGTTCAGATGATGTTGAACCTGCCCATTCACCTCCGGCATTGGTACGTGCAGTTAGAGCGGATGTGACTCCGTTGATGCGCATGGGCCCTATGGGTTGGAATCTGGATTCAGCAAACTGTGGCATCGGTCGTCACCATTCAGATCATTTCCAAGATCTTACACTTATTCGTCCTGACATGTCTGGAAAGATGTATCGTACAACATTGATCAGAGACAAAGGCGAATGGTACGTGCTTGAACTTTGTGAGTTGCTGGAGACTCTTGTGGATTTGAATGCAGAGATCTATGGATATGATGGACCAAGAGACATCATTACGGTGATCACTGACTCCGAGAAGGA